ATCGATACGCACTGTGCATCCACTTATATAGCTGCAGTGCTTGCCTGTGGCGTAATGAGTGCCACGTCACAGTAGGACGTTGATTACGGTTACGTTAGCGTTGCGCGTTACGTCACCGCGTGACGTCACCGCGGAGGGGAGGGAGGGAGCGCTTCGTTACCGCCACGCACCTGTGGCCTGAGTCGCCACGTTGCTGCTGGGTAGGGAGGGGGTCTCCGTTCCGCAATATGTCACAATATATATATATATATATATATATGTAAATAGAATGAATAAGAAACTTCAGAGACCTATGGCTCTGTTGGCTATTACAGGCCACACCAATAGTGAATCCGTTCATCTGAAGCCTTACATTTAAACATAGTCCTTGGAATCAATACGCTATTGTGCTTCCCTTTGTTGCTGCTAACATTGTGTAACTTGTACTAATTGGAATAATTAGGTCCTTTGTCACACTGTAGAATGTAGAAACGTAAGGGATCCCTTCGCCAGGATGGAACGAGCCTTCTGTTCTGCCATTAGCGTTAGCTTCCTCGCCCTCCACGCCTAGAGGGGCTGCAACTTACAGAACATCCAGCCAGAGCTAAGAGAGTAGCAAGCGACCGGTACAACCGGGTACAACGACTAGCATGCTGCATCTAGCACATACAAGCCGATCAGGCGGGAGAACAAGGAGCGTAAAGTGACCTTTTATGCTAGTGGAATGGGACTAAGTCCCTTGTACTGCGGCCACTTCTGGCCTATTGTACCAGCCCCAGATGATAGGTGAGGGTGATTGTGGAGCAATTGGTGGAATGAAGATTGGCAGGGGAAATCGAAGTACTAGGAGAAACCCTGCCCAAGCGTCACTTTGTCCACCACAAATCCCACCTGACCAGACCTGGGATCGAACCCGGGCCGCCGCGGTGGGTAGCTCAGATGGTAAGTTGCCGGCTTCCAAACTCGGCGGTTTGATCCAAGGCAAGTTCATGCATGATTTGTGATGGCCAGAGTTTTACTATGGCAGGTTTCCTCCATGTACTTCGACTTGCTCTGCCACTTCTTCTTCTACCAACAGCTCTGTACGTCTCTATCATCTGGGTTTACACAGAATGCCCAGTAATGGCCGATGTACCAAGTGGACTCAGCCCCTACTCCACCTTATGATTAAAAAATAGGGTTAAAGCTCTAGTGTTGAGATTGATTCTGGCTTGGCATTGCATCAATTCTTGTCTGAGATAGTTCCAAGCGCAGTATTTTTCAACCGCCGGGTCCTGGCATCAATTATACCGGGTCCTCGTCTTCTAGAAAAGAAAATTACCGGGCCGGAGTCTGAAAAAGGTTGAGAACCACTGCCCTAGAGCAGCTTTAATTTATGACGCTGCCAGTATCTCATATATATAGTATAGTGACATGACGCCCGAAAGTCGGAACAGTGAATTCAGAATAGACGATTATTGCTAGACTCGGTAAACACAGTCCCGCGGCAACGAATACGCAAGCAACAATCGAATAACTTCCGTTGCTATGCAACACGCCTTCTCAACAACAGAAATGTTGTTTTCTGAGTGGTCGGTGCAAAGTCATTATAAAGAAGTTCAGATGAGTCAAGTAGAGTCGAATTTCGAGACGCCAGCCTGCCTGGAATGAACTTGGGAGCAGAGGAATTGAAATGAGTTGACAGCTGCAGAATTATGGCAAAAAAAGAAATTAGGCTATGAAACAAAAACTTCATATGTGATTTGAAGTTTCAGTGGGACTGTTATAAATCTGTTGCCAGGATACGACTAGTGAAGACTGGGAACCTTAGTGCGTGTGTAACGGCGAACTGTAAATTGTGTAGATCAACGATAGCGCTGTATTGTCTGTAGGTCCGGGCTGTGTATAAGGTGTCAATAAATCCAACCATCCAATTCAAAACTCGTCTATAAGTCACTCACATCCCCTACACTTGACTATATATACTATGTATAATGTGTCGAATATTAGTGTGAAAGTTTTATGATGAATTGGAAATGGTTTAGAAAAAAGCGCCTGTGTCCTAATCGAGGTTAAACACCAAAATTTGTTTGGAGAGACCGAAGAAAACCATGAGATATCTCAGTTAGTATAGCCAATGTGTCGAGTAAGACTCGAAACGAACATCTCTCACGCATGAGCATAAAGCTTTGTCGCGACAACTCTCTCAGCAATCCTCAGCTGTGAACTCTTTAATAGATAGGGAGTTGCAGGCTTATCTAATGAGTAAGCACAAAAGGAACGTACCCTCAGTTAAGGATTCCTAGACTCATTTCATTATGAAAGTTAAATACGACCAGAAGAACAATTATCTGTCGGATGTCCTAGGGCAGGCTGAACTTCCCTTAAAAGCTCATAAATACGTGTATTCGTCATGTGGTTCATTTCGTCAGCAACATATATTCGGAATGATCGGTTATAAGCTATTTTTCTTCTCCCGCAGTATTTTCACATTTGGATTTCGATTGTTTATACATGGGTATTGAAAAAATTTCTTTAATTTGTGGTATTATAGTTTTTTTTTCCTTAGCACTACAGCCCCGGTGGGCCTAGGCCTACCTCCATGAACTTCTCCGTTCACTTCGGTTCTTCTAGATCTTATACATTCGGTAGGACTCCTTGGGCGGGTGATCAGCTCATCGCAAGGCCTCTACCTGTACACAAACACAGAAACTAAACGTCCATGCCCTGAGTGGGATTCGAACCCATGATCCTGGCTTCCGAGCGAGCGAAGGCAGTACATGCCTTAGACCGCTCGGCTACCGTGACCGGCGGTATTCTAGTTTTAGTACTATAGAATTCAACTTAAAATTTTTTTATTTATATGATTGAGTTCAAGTGACGTGAAATAAGTTTTCATGTGTGATGTGCAGACGCATCGCTGTGGGTGTGTTCAATTGAATCATGTGCTCTTATACTGAAAAGAATAGCTACCCGAACGGACCGCGTGACTGCCCATTCCTCTGAACTCCACTTGTTAGCCTGGAAACACAGGAAAGAACATATGAAATGCAACAAACACATTAATACGGCTGTTTTTCTATATATTTCTGTTGTAGTCGCAATAATGTAGACAGTGAAGTGCCTAAAATTTCATTTCGGGGTTTGTACCTAAAAATCAATAGACGGCATGTATAAATTCACAATATAGCTGTATTACTGGGATACATGTCTGTACTTTCCATAGTCATTTTTTTACTTTGAAACTAATTTTCTTGAATTTATAGATATAAGTAGAAGAGTCGACGCTTGATTTTCTTCTACCTTGACAGGTTACGTTCCTTGGTCTGTGCTCAATTGGAATTAATTCTGAAATATGAATCCTGTATACAGTTGGCAGGACTCCTCAGACGAGGAATCAGCCCGTCGCAAGGTCCCTGCTTATACAGGACAACACAAACACAGAAAAGACTCTGAAATACTATCAATCTTCGAGTGAGAACCCACGATCCGTGTTTGAGGAGGCGAAGATATGCCTCAGACCGCACGGCCACTGTGTCCGGCGTACATTATCGTCCCTAACCAAATATTCAGTTTGATTTTGAATCTTGTACAATGACAATATAGGCAGTTTTGCCGACGTTTCGGAAGTACGTGCTATATCTGCCTTCAGGATCGATTAGGATAGGGTGAGTGTCCGCGCGCGCACGTGTTGCTGTATGTGAGTGTGCATATACGGGTATATGTACATGTATATTGATCCATATACTCAAGGCCGCTTTTGATAACACTTGTCTGTCCACTCTTCTCAATGGTCAAGATCTAGCACAAGTCTCCACCCCTTCGCCTTGATCTGTTCGACCAGTACCAATACATATATGAACATTCACTCGCCATACTCATTTCAAACCTGAAGATAGAGGAAGTATGTACTTCCGAAACGTCAGCAACACACATCCACATGGTGGAAAACGGAAGAACAGAACCGACATCAACAATTAACCACCGTGAAAACCTAAAATCAGTAATGGAATAAAGCATACTTTCGTGCTGATGTTACATTATTTTGAAGTTTAGGAACACTGGCCTTTGTTCCCTGCTATTCCTCGAGATCTAAGCGTGGAAGGGCTTCTGTGAAGGAAGCTTTTACGCGTTTCTATGGTGTGTGACGTCGGGGCTGCTTATTGAAGTTTATTCAGAAATGGATGGGCACATCGTGACGTTCCGTTCACTCCCAACAGAAGTAAATATTTACAAATTCTACTTTGTATTGATTTTATGATTTTATACAAATTCTACATTTCAGATAAAAATATTTTTAGGGCTACCAGTCCTTGTGATGCAGGTATTGATAATCCCTTATCAAAACATTATTTTCTTTGTAGGATCTGGAGTTTTCACAGCTGTTGTTGTGAAAAATTCTATCTTCTGGAATATAACGCCTTGTAGTCCGTTGAACGTCAGCCAAAGTTACGCAAGAACATGTCGCCTCCAACTTGAAGAGTAAGCAAAGCAAGGAACAGGCGTGAAGCAAGTAGCAAAGGGAGCTCTTCTTGCTACTTGCTAGGCCTATTCTTCGACCCTGAAGATGGAGGCGACATTTTCCTCCCGAAAGCCTGTTGACTTTCAGAGGACTACACGGCATTATATCAGAGAACAGAACTCTTAATAATTTCGTAGTTTCTTCCATGCACTTAGGTGCATGTGTACTTTTAAAAAAGCCATTAGTGTTTAGATCAACAAAAACTCATCTTTCTTTCATGATAAATACTTACTTACTTACTCATTCACCTGATCCCTTCTAGAGGAGCCTCCATTTCGGCAGCTACTCAAGAATTTCCCAGAATTTAATGGAATTCGAAGGTTCATTACCGTGTTCACAAGAGCCCTCCACTGGTCCCTATCCTGAGCCAGATCTATCCAATCCATACCATCCCATCCTGTCTCTCTAAGATCCATTCTAATATTGTCCACCCACCTACGCCTTGGTCTTCCCTGTGGTTTCTTTCCTTCGGGCTTTCCCACCAATATCCTATACGCATTCCTCGTCCCCCAATTCGTGCTACATGACCTGTCCACCTCATCCTCCTTGACTTGATCATTCTGATTATACTTGGAGAAGAGTGCAAGTTATGAAGCTCCTCATGACAAATAACGTAAGAAATCATTCCGAAGCGTAAAATTATAGTATCGGACTATTTATTTAAAACAGGGTTTTCATTTTTTTCACTGGTAAAACTTATATTATCGTCTGCACTGTGAAGTATTAATCAAACTAAAAACTGCTGCGGGAATATCGAAAAATAGTAACCTATTTGAAGCACTTTCAGATGTAGAATTCGGTGTCATTTGTCTGAGTCATATGTTACTATATCTAACCCTTGAAAGCTAAATTGTTACTACGTGTACCACGTCTAACACCCTCGAACCCACCACCTTGTCTGAAATTTTTCTTCTGCGCATTCAGTGTTACTCTTGGCCTTGTTCGAAGTTACGTGACACTTGCTTTAACATAATAAAACTCTGCATTCCACCCACAGAGTGCATTTATGTGTTTCGTTTGGTTCTCAAAATAAACAGAGTTTCTTTTCCCTAACAGCATTAACCGGCTGATTTTTGTAACAGAGGTGTTATGTGCTTCCTCTCGGGTACGCATTGATTTTTATACAGTACTTTTAAGAAAGTCAGATTTCTAAGGATGACTCTTTCCGTGTATATGCGATATAATTTCGAATGTTATTATAATTGTGAATAATACGATGGTATATTTATGGTCACAAGCGGTTGTGGTGTTTGAAAATATAATTTTCTGGGAGAGACTGAGAAAAACCACGGAAATTAATCAACAAAAGATACAATCTCCGGCCGAGATTCGAATAACAGACCATACCAACATTAGGCAGCAGCGATAACCGCTCTATCGGGATGTATTTGGATCATTTATTACATTTTATTAAATTTAACGTAAATAAACAGTGCATAAATGGTCGCTTTAAGATATCATATCCTCTTCTATATTTTGTAATGCACAATTATTTAATTATTATTGTAATTATTTATTACATTAATCCGGTCTAGAAAACCGAGATTAACGGCCGTGGGGATCCGTTGTGCTGACCACGTGACACTCTCTATCCCAAAAATTGACACTAACTTCGCCAACAAGCGACGGTCGTTCGGTCGGTATAGTTCGCTTGCGGAGTACAGGCCAAAGAGTATTTATTATATCGTAATATTTTGTACATCATGGATCCTGGGAAAGTATAAAATTCAGACACTGTACAGAATATCCCAAAGTATTAGGAAAAGAATGAAATTTGAGAGTTCGACTATCTCGCATATATTTTGCCTATTTATTCTTACCCTATACAATAAATAAATATACTATAGATGGCCTAGACCAGTTTAGCGGAAAAAACAAGACTGAACCACATATATGCCATATGCATACTATCATACTAAAAAACTCCGCAGAGCAGAGTCTTTCTTGAGAAGGCAATGGTCGCTCAGGTAGTCAAGAATTTCCCCTCCTTTAATTACACCAGAAGATTCATTACAGCTCCCATAAGTGCCCACAACCGATCCCGATTCTGAGCCTAAAGAACTCGGTCCACAATCTCACATCCTATTTCATTATATCCATTTTAATATTATCTTCCAATCTACCTATAGTTCTCTCAAACGATCTCTTTTGTTCGGGTTTCCTGACAAAAACGCTGTATGTATTTATAATCTCCCGCATGTATTCTACATACCCATTCTACTAACCCATCTTAATTGTATCGCCATTTAAATAACATTGGTGAAGAGCACAAATTATAAATCTTCTGTACTGAAGAAGGAAGCGATATGTTTCTCCGAAAGGTAGCTTTATTTTCTCTTGTTATGCCCCCCCCCCAGATTTAGATATTCCCCGCAGCATCCTGTTCTCAAACGCCGCATTTTAAGGGGCGAAGTTTCACATCCATACAAAACGACAGGTAAAATTACAGTTATAATTTTTAAGTTTTTAGACAGCAGACGGAAAGAAGAGATATTCTGATGTGAATTGTAGCAAGCACTCCCCGAATGTAATTTGATTTAATTTTATCGCTGCAAAATATCTGAACTGTTATTACCCATAAAGATAAATGTGGTGATACAACAGAAAATTAAAAATTATATGAGATTATTAAAATAGCAGATAAATTTTAACATTTTATAAAGTCCAAATGGAAGTGGAACATCAATACTGAATTAAAACAGTTATTGTTCGATGGTTAGTTACGTTATGTCAGCTTAGCTTAAGTTTGATAAGCTTCATTTGGTTTAGCTAGCCTTAGGTTAGCTTAGGTTCCAGTCTGATATTTCCTATACATGCGCAGTCGTGATCTGCGCATATCACTACTGCCATCTACATTTATAAGCAAAACTGGTCGCTCATCTGTACCAATCACAATACACTTATCACATCATATTTTTCTAAACCAATCACAGAGCTTCTAACAAACCGATTTGATTTTAATTTCCGTTGGTGGATAAATTGTGCGTAGTTATCTGCGGTTATGGTCGCATGTTATGTGTTAATTCGTGTGTATGGGCTTTGATTTGTTATCGTTGTGTAACGGGGGTCTACTTTTACGCACGAAATTACATTTGCATGTTAGACATGTTATTTGTGTATATGAATGTTATGCCTGCTACACTGGATGCAGCTGGAAATATATATCAAGCGAGAAATTCTTGTTATGATGACACTGACTTGAACACCGGAAATCGCGAATCAAGTTTGAATGTTCATACGTGAAGGTTTACACAGAATATAAGAAAAACGACCCCCATATTGGAAGAACCACACGCAAGTTTTAATTATGACACATAAGATGAATACTTTTAACAAGTTTTAGTGTGTGTAAATTTATTACAGTTGACAAATATGCACTTTTTAAATACTTTTAAAATAATTTTATAAAGGCAAGCAATGAAATAGATTAGCGTAATTAGGGCACCTGATGATGGCACTATGTTGCCGAAACATGTCGTGAAGTAACAGGTGAAACTGAGTGCACTACAAGACGGCAACACTATACATATCATGGAACATACGTGAAGGATTTCAAATAATTTTCTAAAACTATTGCGAAAAATTGCAGGCGTTTCTCTAAACGTTTGGGACAATGATCGTTTCCTTCTTTCAGTACTTGATTGGACATGGTCCACTGTCTAAAGAAGCGGATCATAACCGTTTTCCCCCGCGTCTCACATGACGAATGCCGTTCACCCTGTGCCACACCGTCCCATGGGTGTACCCATGTTTAGACCAAGCCCCCAGAAATATCTGCGGTGAAGGAAAGCAAACAGCACCTCCGCACACTTTCCTTTTGGCTTGGTATTTATAAAAGCCGGGACAGCTCAGTCGGGAGTGACGCTACGGACTGGACGATAGAGGGGCCGCAGTTCGAGTCCCGGTGAGGAGAAAAATTTTTACTTCCTTATCTCGTCCAGACCGGGTCTGGGGTCCACCCAACCCTCCCACACAATTTTCCGAATTACTGAACTCCAAATTAGTGAAGTTTCACTGTAAATATGATTTAGACATCTCTGAAACGTTACTGTCACATGTCAAATGTCACTTACATCACACAGTTTGTCGTTAAGAGGGCGAGTATGAGACCAACATGCATTATCTCGCTTTCAAGACTTGATCCTCTTATGAACTGAAAAAGAGTCTTCATACAGGAATTAAGTGAAGAAGAGGGGTAAAATATCCAAGCCATAATTATGATTGCAGGGTGCTCATTTTTAAGAGAAATCTAAAATGAATCAAGGAAGGTGTCCTGAAATGTTAATTTTAGAGTTGCATTTGAAGAAACTTCGATTCACTTTTCTTTTCCGCACATGTAAGGTCTGTCGCGATTTGTTAACATGCTTAGCAGAAGCTCTGAACGTCGAAATAATCCATTCAATTCCATGGAAACACGTTTTATATTCTCCTGAAGATCCGACAAGTGTTCAACAAAAAAAATTTTTCTAGAATTGGACTTTTTGCTTTACTTTCAACTTAGTTGCAACATTTATTTAAAACAGTAAAATTTACAGGTTGTCTTTCTCTATAACTGATATCCATAATAATGTTTCATACTTGCTCGTACTAAATTTTCTTTTCAGCCATTCATTCAAGAGTTTAAGGAATGGAGCTTATTAAAAATATCAGCGAGATAAGCGCCAACTGACACACAAAACAATATCTCAATTTTTTCTGAATACACCATTTTTCTTCTTTCAACATATAAGGATAGTCATCTTGTAGTTGTAAAACTTGGTTCAGTGCTTTTCATATTGAAATCCAATGTATTTCAATGAGCAACTATATTTTATGTTATTCGTCCATTTTCCTAGTATAGGTTTACAATCAGTCTGAATTCTAATGAACCATTTTTATGTTGTTCATATTTATTGTTACTTTAATAACCTCGGCAACTCATTCCCATCTGTGCTTTTCACCATGGGAGATTCTCGATGTAGAAGCAATGTGTAGTAACAAAAGAAGGATTTTCTTTTTGTTCGAAGCTTAGGAAACCTTTTACATGTCCCATCACAGCTGTGACGCCATCAGAGTAAATTGAAATACAATTATTCCTAAGCAGATCTTCTTGAAACTAAATATTCACTTTAGCGAACATATCAGCACCAGTTGTTCTTGTTTCCAACAGTCGACAAAATACAAATTGCTCCATTACATCAGACCTTTCAACGAATCTCAGAAGAGAGACATGTCCGTATTTTCATTTAATTGGAAATCAAACTTTCTATTTGTTTGCAACTTTCCGAGAAAAGTCAATGTTATGCCCCCTTCGTGTGTAGTTCTCAAACAAACACCTGTGAAAAGATTTGACAACACCGTCCACTGTGACTTAGCACATATTTGTTTATATAGTGCCCTTACATGTTTCGGTCAGTTGTGGTTATCTTCAGAAGGTAATAACAACATGCTAAAGAACTGGTATTACATAGATCGTAATACATATGCTTAAAGTTTTGTTTAACATTCTTTAATTGTTAAAGTTAAAAAGTGTTTGATTTAATAATATATAATTAATGTCCTTAATATTTAAAATCTGAAACCGCTGTGGTTTGTTTCTTCGTGCCTCTTTTGCCAAAACGGGAGGCTGGGGCGTTATTTACCGCCCTCTGAGGCTCAGGCAGGGTTATTTTCCCATTTTTGTGTATGTTTCGTTAAGGATCTGCAATTATATTACGGGTATTTTTATACAAAAGCATATGTACTTACTTAATATTTCTTCCACTCCAATTTTTATTCGAGTTGTACCTTACGTGTTCCTACTTGTGTTGTTGTCAAGTTGTTGCTCCTTTCGTTGCGTATTGAGGCACTTATATGTGGTGCGTTGTGTGAGGTATTTATATCCCTGTTCCCTAAACACATTTTAGTGGGAAAGACGAAATGCAACAGCATGGGATGCACTGGCATGTGAACTGGTGCAGTGCGGGAGTTCAGTTAATGAACAACTGCCTGAAGATGGACTTGTAAGGCGGAAAAATATTGCACTTAAATGTGATTTTATTGACATTTTAAAATAAAGGAGAGACTGTGAACGGTTTGTGTTGCATTAGATATGGAAATGTGTGAACGAGTGATACATCAATGCAGCAAGATGCTGAACTCTAATACAAGTATTGTTAGCGGTATGAAACTGTTGCTCACTACGGGCTGAGGCTGCGGTCATGCGCAATTCCCGGCCCTCTACCTGTAACCACACCTCTTGCTCTCCCACTCAAGAAAGCGTAGAGGACTACAAGTGACTGTGAGCGACATTGTTGTGGGGATAAACTTAAATCCGCTCTAGCAAACTTCGGTAATCCAATCATTATTTGTAACAAATTACTTCCCTAAACACCTCACGAATTTACCGCGGCACATCAGTGCTTCACAAGAGCGCGTTTAAGAATCGCTGGTATAAACTATGTGTTATATACAAGACATTATAGATGTTCGCTTTAATTCAAGCATTCAGTTGCCTATTTGTCATACAGACAGGTTTTATTATTATTTCAAATTGTAAGATTAGTGTCGAAGGCTTAACTTAATATTCAAAACGTCGCATTTTCTATCTCAGATATCAACAATCCTAAAATAAGGAATATAGAAATCTTTCAGAAAAACACACAGAGTCACGTAAAGGACGGAAGGGCACCAGTACAACAGATTTCCAAGTGTCATGTACAACAAACATACCTCAGATATGGATATGTCCCGCATAACATTAGTAAAGTAGCCGTAGGACTGTAATTAATTTCACAGGAATGTCATTAGTCTCATGTCGGGAACTGCTTGCTGGCGTCTTGTCATACCCCTGCAGTATATACTCACGTTGTTGCGTGAATTGACGTCAAGCGGTTCTCTCAAGACGCGTCTGACGGCGTCAGTGTCGTTCTTGATGACTGCTTCGTGTAACTGCAGTTCTTTCTTGAACGCTGAAAAAAGAATTGGTACACACTCAGTTCTGTAGAGTTTCACAGATGGCACCACCGACCTCCAAAATTCTTGACACCTAATTTGTCTCCATGAATATCGAGCTGCTTGTTAGCACTGGATTTTATGTTTCGGGTTCATGTTAATACAATTCGGAGGATACGGGCCCTCACTAACTACGAATTTACAAATTATAAGTTAAGTAACTAACTAACTGACCAAGCAACCAACCAACCAACCAACCAACCAACTTCACAGAGCTTGAGAAACCGACAGTTTTGAAGCTATAAGTACTTAAGAACTTCCTAACATTATATGGAAACTGAATTTTCATTACCATGCTTACAAGAACCCTCCACTAGACCCTATCCTAAGCTGTTTCCTCAGGGGTAAAGCGGCCGGGGCGTGAAGCTGACCACTCACTTCCAAATAGTGCCGAGGTCAAGAAAATGTGACATTCACTCCCCCATACGCCTTCAAAGAGTACTGTTTAATTAGTTAAGCACAGAGACAAATTTACCTTGATGTTTATTAATACAGCACAATTATACACTCGCTAGAATTTAGATTACACTTTCAAACTATTCTCAGGTTAATTTGCTTAAGTTCCTACTGCTATTCGAATGTCACTGTCTCTGAAGGCCTAAATGATTAAAATTGACGATACTTTAGAATTTATGACGGACGCCACTGGTATTCACTTATTTGGCGGAAACTTGTTACCGAGTCACTTGGTCGAACAGATCCTCCCAGAGGAAAGCCCATCTTGAATAAACAGCATCCAGAGATGGGACGCCCCCTTTCGGATCCAGATTGGCAATATTTAAAGTTAAGTGTGCCCACAATTTAACGTCTTCTAATCAACTACTACTGCTGATCGAAATTGAGCTCTAAAACTCAAACGGAAATTTTTGAAAATATAAAAAAGTATAATGAGCATACCGTTACTTCCTGAGATGCCTTCTTAAAGTCTCTGACTTCTCCTACCTGTCACGTTTCCAAAGCGATACCGCTGTGCTACTCGTACAGTCACATAATTCCAAGTAATTGGTAAGGCATCATGTCTTGCAAGTGAATGCAAGACTGGGGTCATGTACCTTCTTAGTTGGATAACATAACAAACTTTCTATCTTCGTCTATAATGAACTAATAATATGGCTACTATCCTATGTACTATCTATCCACGGCTCTACAGTCCTTTGTTGGGTCTCGGCCACTTTTCAGGTTCTTAATCCTATACACACTCGTTAGGACTCCTTGGACAGGGGATCAGCCCGGCGCAAGGCCGCTACCTACAAACAGAACAACACAAACACAGAATAACCGCACACACATATACATTCCTTGAGTGGGATTCGAAGCCACGATCCCAGCGTTCGAGCGAGCGAAAACAGTTCATGCCTTAGACCGCACGAACCCTGTGATCGACACTGCTACTATCCTACACCAATTCTTAATTACAGTAATGAAAATCTTATAATTATTTCTACTCCAGCTGAACTTTTATAGTTCCTCCACTGAGTTACTGATACTGTAGTTAAATAACCTGCGTACACGTCAATACACAAAGGCAAAATGAATATTAACAATTACTTGTGGTAGCTTACCTTTGTTAAATGTCTGTTACATCATACTGCGACATATGTATTCATTGCTAGGCAACGACTAGGTAAACATATTCCCACAGAAGCAAAAGCACCAATATAACCTCCATTACTAGGCAGTGGATAGGTGAACATATCTCCTCAACAATAAAGACCTTGTTTTCTGCGTGGTCCTTGCAAAATGGTTATAAATAGTGTTGGGCAGCACAGAGCAGTACAGAAGAGTAGTCGAGTGGAGTTTCGAGACGCCAGTCTGCCGGGAAATGAGCTTGGGATCAGAGGAATTGAATTGAGTTGGCAGTTGCAGAATACTGGAAAGAAAGGAATTCAGCGGTGTAAAGAAGACTTCATGTGTGATTGGAAGTGACAATGAGACTATTATAAATCCGTTGTCAGGACACGACTAGTGAAGACAGAATCGTAGTGCGTGTGCAATGGTGAACTCTAAAGTGTGTAGATCCGCGATAGTGATGTTTTGCTTGTAGCCCTTGTTGTGTGAATAAGGTGTCAATAAATTCAATCATCCAATCCAAAAATCCCGTCTGTAGTCAACCCTACACGTCACAATGTTATTCTGAGGATTAAGTCCTATAAAATTTTCCAGTAAAATAGAGAACGTAAATCAACAGTCGGCATATCTTGCTTATATTACCTTTTATTTTGAACGGAGAGAGTCAATTTTATTGAAATTGTTCCCTTGTACTGCCAGTATAGATCCCATACGAAATGTTTATAAATAAAATTGACGTGTACTGTAAAAACTCGGATATAAACCTAATTCTTTTGTTAGAACAAATCATTCCTATTTCTTGTGAACAAATTTTCTACCATATAACAGTCCTGGCCGTGTTTACTCTGCTAATGAACTTCTTTGGCAGCGTATATGGTACAGACTGTGTAAATAATTGCGACATGAAAAGAGAAGACGAAAGGTTTTCGAGAGCAATGACGAAAGCAAACGCTGCAACTTTATACATATAAAATTCTCTGGCGAGAATCCAGTATTCGCAGCGAAGAGAATCAATACTGGGCCACAGGATATCTGTAGCCACTAAAAAGACTTTCATCTGTACCGAGCTTCGAATTCTTTGCAGTTTAACAACCCCAATCGGAATATCTATTTCCACACGTTCTTCGCTCTCAATATATACATTGCATAATGACGACATCATGTTGACCTCTGTGTGTTAGCAGGATTTCTAACCGCTTAATGTGTTTTGAGTACGTTATGGAGAATCAAAATATAGAACTTGCCTACCCAACTGAATTTTGATTCATGTAGATCCATTATAGCCCCCTGCTTAAAGTAAAGCACAAACCGAGATTTGGAAGTACCATAGAGTTTGAGAAATGGGTGCATATACAACTTGGCTTCCGAATATTGGGAACACTTTCAGCTTAGCTTTCTAAAATTGCATATATCGGCAGTAGATATATCAGTACTTAGTTTTCGAAAAAAAAATCATGTACATGAGCAGCTTAGTTTTCGAAAAATGGTTACATGGGCACGTACGAGTAAACAGACCTGCTTTAAAAAATTGGGTACAAGAGTAATGAGGAATGGGTAATCAAATAGTTCCCCCCCCCTTCTTGCTTTCACTTTGGAGCACAAGGCTGATTTCTCAGTTTCGTGATTATTTTACTGACAGTATGACTCCTTGGACGAATGACCATCTCGTCGCGAGGCCTCTACCTAAACACAGGACAACATAAAGACAGAACAAACGCATACACACACCAAACAGCCATGCTTTGTGTGGGATTCGAACGGACGATCCCGGCTTCCGAGCGAGCGGAGACAGTATATGTCTTAGACCGCTCGACTACCGTGATCGGATCACCAAACAGTTTAGCCTTACAAAAATTTGTATATAAACAGGTTTTCCTTCGAAGTATCACTGCTTTCCTGAATAGCTTTTGAAAAGTGGGTACATAGGGGGACAGCTCGATTAATGCTGTAGCAACAAAAGGCGGACAATCGAATGTAAGGTAAAAAGATAAAGTTGTCCCGGTACATAATTAAGCACTACACCATGAAGACATATGGGGACTGGAGGTATAGCTCCTCCATTCTTGACCTCGGCACCGGGTGGAAGTTAGTGGTCAGATTCACGCCTCGGCCGCTTAACCCCCAAGCCCAATTGGATAGGCTACTGGGTGGGTTTCAGAGCCGGTTTGGTAATGCAGAAAAATCTGGTTTCCCTAACGGGAAATGAATCCTGGCAGTGCAGCCTGTAGCCAGTCGCTATACCGACTGAGCTATCCCGGCTTCGACAATGAAACACTGTTTAGTAAAATTTCATATTTGAAAACAGGGAAGTGAAATATCTTATTGGAGACCAGCGTCCCGTCCCAAAAATGTAAGCAAAACCCAAATGTTTAACGAAATTTGTGCCTAGTACTCATTGATTTGCGATTAATAATCACTCCTCAAAATGTTCGAGATATAACCGCTTTATGTTTCATAATATTTGGATTAATGAGTGCTTATGGAAGGGATTCGAGCGCGCCAAAGCTCAAGCGGTTTATTTTTTTTATTCCTAGTGGGGTGGGACTAAGTCCCTTGTACTGCGGCCACTTCTGGCCTATTGTACCAGCCCCAGATGATAGGTGAGGGTGATTGGTGGAATGAAGATTGGCA